TAGATAGTTGTAAAAAAATGTTGCTTTTTTTATTTGCAAGCTTTCGGGCACATACACCCTTCCTCAGACATAGGGGAGTGCAAAGCCTGTGAAATGTAACAGCTGGTAATCTCAAGGATGGTGAAAATGAACACCGCTTTGATGGAGCCGTTCTATTCAGAAAGAGAAAGCAGAGTGGTACAAGCTGAAGACCAGGTAGAGATTGAATTCCTCCATGCTGTGGCCCTCCGACTGCTGATCCAGCTTACTGAAGCAACATCACCGGCGGGCAGATGATATCGTGCAGTACATGTGGGTGTGAGGCTTGAGGAGGTCCCTTACCAGTCCTTTTCTCATCTTATGTCTGGAGCCATATGCACCTTTTCTGCAGTGCATATATAATCAGAGCCCTACAGCCTTTAAGGCTTTAAAAATCAGGAGTGCTCACACGGCTGCCCAGCCCTTATTTTTCTTTAATGGTGGGAATTTTTCAAATTCCTCCATTTGAGAGTTACTATCGCCCACCTTGCTTTCTTTTTGCTGCTTACAAATTGTCAGCCTTAAACAGGTTTTAAAGAGATGATTCAAGTGAGATTCCACATGATAAATTCTTGGTGGCTTTATCCAGCAGCTAATATTGCAGAAAGGAGCTTTAGAAATACTAGAATATATTTATTTTTAATAAGTTGTACCTGCTGTGAAGATTGGAACTAGTATTTTGAACTGCCTGGGTTTTGGGGAGCTCCATTTTTGACTGGTTGTTAGGACCAAATGGGAAATCTTCATAAGCTTGTGTACATGAATTAAAGGGATCTTGAGTTGCTCCCTGCATATGTGAGGAAACTAATTTCACCATTGTTCTAGTTTGCCTAAAATGTCTGATTTCTGTTATTCCTGTCATCTCTTTATCATGGACAGCATGGGCAGTAGTCCTAAGGGCTTTCCTAAAAGTCTCCTGCTCATGTCATACCTGTCCCGTCCCCTCCGCTCCCCGGGAATATGGGTAGAATGAGAAGGCATTTATTTCTTATGCCCCTCTGAAACCACAATTGAAAGTTGCCCGTCGTTGAACTTGGTAATTAGCTGCTAACCTGAAAAAAATGTGTCCTGTGAGCTGTAGGTGAAAGCTTTCTCCTGCCCAGATAGATTTTTTTTCCTCTAAAACCTTTATCTTGTAGACACAATTCTTTCTTGCTTATAGATCTTTAAGACACTGTATCCTCTTTGCTTAAAAGAAGTTAACCTTTCTTTTCTCAGTGCCTTGGCCAAATGCTTTCCTAGCTGGGTTTGAAGTGAGATTCTCAGACTTTCTCTTGGATCTGCTCTTAAAAGTGATTGAATATGCTGTGTTGTAGGAACCCCAGGAAAAATGTCTTCATTTTCATAAATGCATTTCTGAACAGGTCTAAGAAGTCCTTACTGCCTGCTCTGTTTCAGTGTAACTGAGATAGTAAGAGTCTTAGTATTCAGTCCTAATTGTTGTTTCTTTGGTAAAGAGCAAACTTGGTTTTCTGTGCAATAGAGGTGGCCTTTTTACAGGCAGATAACTATTGCTCAGTATTTCTTATTGTAAAATCATAAGTGGCAAAAATGCATTTGTCATTTCTACGGTGAGAGATCTTGATGAGGTCAGCTACCCTCTTTCTTCTGAGTTTCATCTGGTATAACTTATCTTGCAGTAAATGTACAGCATCTTACCCCAACAGTATTTTATAGTGGACTAGTTCATTCACACTGATCTATCATGCAGTGAAAACTTTGGTTAGTGAAGACATAGATAGCTGCATGTCTCTGGCTTGTTCCTACCATGTTCCAAATTCCCCTGTTGGGAGGAGCTGCAGAACTTGTGGTATGAGCACAACTGTTTCTCGTGTGCCTCCACCCGTCACTCTTCTTGTAGCAGTAGTGTCTGTGGATGCTTGCAGACATGAAAAAAACCCAAAATTCCTCGCTTCACCACAAGCAGCAGCACGTTGTCTGTATAGATTGGGCACTTCAGCGGGGCTTTATGGCGCTTTTATCTACCGTTTATTCAATCAGCTATTAGATAAGTGCCAAACACCACCCCCCCCCCCCCCCCCCCCCCCCCCCCCCACCAAGTTCCTGATCTATACAGATACTGCAGAGTGAGGTCCAACTAACACACTGGCTCTCCTGGGCATGCACTGGGCTCAGTGCAGAAGCATGTCCAGTTTAAAGCATGGGTTTTTTGTTTTTTTTCACACCTGTAAGCAGCCTGTATGATTTGCGGTGATGATGGTTTGAGCCTGGGATTAAACTACCAAGTGGGAGTTAATTGTCTGGACAGATTATAGTAATATACCCTTTTATGTAATTGGCTATTTTAGGGGCAATAAGGTCATGTTCTTGCAGGGAGAAGGGAGTGGATCTCCTCTTCTCTTCTCTTCTCCTTCTCTTTGCTTCTCTTCTCTCTCACTGCTGTCTTAGTCTGTCTTTAATGGTTGAAATGACTTTCAGCTTATGACTTTGACTCCAGCTATAAACCTTTAGATCTGGAGGTAATGGCTGTGAATGGGAGAGCCCAGGCAACCTCTTGGTAGTAAAACCTTGGAAACTTGGAGTCCTCCAACTTGACAGCTGGCTGAAAACTGTGCTGTAGAAATACTGCAACTTGGCTGAGGCTCTTGTGGGGGAAACTGAAGCCATGTTGATTGCTTAGGTTACCAGTTTGTTACTGATGTGTTGATGCCCGTGTTGCTATCCAAAGCCACATGCATTTTACCACGTGATATTGTACTGGTGTAAGGCATATTAATCCTTGGCTTTGCATCTCTTTCAGCTTTCATAGGGGAAGAATGTCAGGAGAGGCAAATCCCAACAAAGTGGAATTGCCCAGGAAAAGCGTGGAAGCAACTGTTGCTATTTGTAGCCCAAACAGCAGTCTGGGGCATGGATTCCTTTCCCATCCTGCTGTCTTGGAAAGTGGTCCTGCTTTAGGGCCAAAGCATCTGGTAGAGCTGTTTAATTTTGAAAGGAAATTCTGTGAATTTCTAGTTGTACGATCCATAGTGGATTCTGCGGGCACATGCTTTCGAAGGGCTCAGCTCATCTTGGACTTCCTGTGGTAAGGGCTGAGATGTTAGGGGCTTTGACAGTGTGCACTGAGGGGGAAAGGGCACAGTGGCATAGTTGACTGGGTACCCTGAAGTAAATGTCTTTTAAAAAAGGGTTGTATGCCTTTTTTCCTTGTGGAGATAACCTTGAAAACATCTACATTGCTGCAAACTTGTTAATTGAAATAAAACAATCACAAGTGCTGAAAAGAAGAGGCTGTTAGACTCCATATCTGCAGCAAGAAACAGAATTTTAAATATCACCCCACTTGAAATACAGAATCTACAGGCCTGCTCCAAAATCTAATGGCCACATGCCCCCTCCCTGTTGCCACAAGATACTAATGTAGCAATGACACATAAAAGAGTTGTGGTGAGGTGCTGGGGAATAAGTGTCCTAGTACAGGTGTTCCCAACCTTTTTTAAGGAGTATATCCCTTTTGGGTACACTTCTGGCGGAACCGGGGGGCGGGGGAGAGGGGGGGAGTTTGGAGGGGGTGGCTAGACACGGAGCAGGGGGGCTTGCACACAGAGGTGGTGCAGGGTGGTGGATGACAGTGGCCACATTTGAAAACCACCCCCCTTCCCCCGCATCCAGCTGGCTGGACAGTGCCTGTGCAGCTTGCAGAGAGGAGCCGCTGCTCCTGGGAGGCGGTGGCATGGGGTGGTGGATGGCATACCCCTGAGGCCCTTTCCAAGTATCCCCGGGGGTATGCGTACCCCTGGTTGACAACCCTTGTCCTAGTAGATTGAGGGGTTCTGTGTAGGAGAGGTAAAAGGCTTGGAAGTTTGGAGCATATATGTGTTTATATATATTTATCACTAATATGGGCAGAGTAGTTGAAGGAATCAATTTTTGAAATTATTGCAGTACCTTACTGTAAGATGCTAGACTAGATTCACTTACTGGCAAATCTTATGTTCTTATTTTTGATACATTTGAGAGAGAATCTAGGAGGCAGTGCATCAAGCTGTAAAGGTTGTTGGAGGTGATGTTCAGTTCTGCATTGGACCTTTCCAGAAACAAGTGAACTGTAGATGAAATAACCACTGAGGCTGGCTTGCTTTGTGTGATCTGTACAGTAGGATCCATTTAAATTGCACTGAGGGATTGCCAAAGGAATAAAACAGGGTCTGATCTGGGTTACTGTAGGACTGAACCTTATAGCCATATGCTGAAGGTAAGATTTGCAAGTAGTTTGGCTGGTTCGTTTAATGTCAGTCCTATTAAAATCTCCATGTGGGCTCTGTACATACTTTACTTGTAGAAGAATGTTGTATATTATACAGTGTAATCCCTGAAATGTTTGTAGATCCTCCTCCAGCTCTTTTCATTGCCTCCCACAATGCTCTAAAGAATCACGAGCCTCTGAAATAAAAATCTGTAGGCCATAGGTCTTTATCTTTGCACTGTAGCATGCATTTCAAAATAGGCTTGTGTTGTCCTGCTGTGAAATCTCCAGTGGCTCTTGGGGTTTTCATTATTGAAGTGCCTCAAGCTTACACGCACATACTTACATGTGCAGACCTCACTGTGCTTTTAGAAATCTTTACTAGCCAAAAGGCAAGGGACTAGATGACATGTCTAAGGCTTTTTCTAACTCTGATTATTAAGATGGTTAATTGGTTAATTGATTATTAATAATTAAGAGTTGCTTAACTGATTATTAATTGGTTTATTAGCTGCATTTCTCCTGTGCCCTTACCTTTCCCTGATCTGCTTCGTGGAGTCCCTGGAAGAATACTGCAGCATGAAGTTGTGATAAAAACACCCATTTGGGCCATGATAGTCCTTCAGTGTAACTTGTGAATCCTCTGACTTCCACAGGACTTTGAGTGCGTCTGGGATCAGATGTCATAACACTGTTTGAAAGACCAGGAAAAGTATATTTGTTTTATGGTGCTAATACCATTGATAACTAAGAGCTTGACTTTTGTTTCTTCTAGGTATTGTCAACCCAAAGAATCCCAAAGAAGCGCCGAAGTCCTTCAGCTTTGACTACTCCTATTGGTCCCATACCTCAGTAAGTTTTGGATTGTACGGTCACAAAAACAGCTCTATTTACCTGTTGGACTTGCTTAATTTTCTCCTGACTGAATACCAGGTGGTTGTCCTGGTGCTGTTGCATTCTGAATGATACAGGTCCAGAGCTTTGTGTCACTATGTATTTAGTCATGTGTGTCCATCCCGTCCTGTTGTCCTCCCCCCCACCCTTCTGGATTTGAAAAGTTAAGTTTGCAGGGTATGAGAACAAGTATGTGTTTGAAAGAGGAAAGTTGGTAGAGGCTTGGGCCCAAGCACTTAGCGTAGCAATATTTGGCACAATTTTTTTTTCTCTCATTTTTAATCCAGAAATGAAAGTGTCTTAAGCTTCTGTTGCACCATGGAAGAAAGTGAATTGGATTCCATTGGCTTGTCAGGAAAAAGCAGGGCATAAGCACTCTGCCCCACCCTTTCTGAGAGTTGGATTGAAGGTCTTGCTCATGTCCGGCAATTGTTCTGCATCAGGGCACTGCAGCTTTGTACTAGGCCCCCTCCCATGTTTTGTTGAAAGATGAAAGAAAGTGGATCATCCATATTTTTGCCCATTAAGCATAGATATTTGTTTTGGGTGAAGGGTAGGGCATTTAGCACTTCTGCACAGGTTAATTATCTCAGAAAACCCAAAGCCTATAAATAAGCTTTCTTGAACAAAGCTTAGATGAACCAAATTTCATGTTGAATAAAACAGTTGTGTAGAAACCATATCATTATGTGACTGATCAACAGGCATTCAGAAAATGTTGCAAGAATTATTAAACTAAATCTAATGATAGAAATTATGGCTGCTTGCAGACATGGGGGGGAAAAGCCCCCCCAAAAAACTTGGCATGCTCCCACATTGAGCCCAGCACATTAATTGGACCTGGTGTTTATTCCCAACACCTGTATAGGTTGTGTGCTTCAGTGGGGCTTTTTTGGTGCTTTTATCTAATAGCTGATTGAATCAACTCTAGATAAAAACACCAAAAAGCCCTGCTGAAGTGCTGATTTATACAGATGCTGCAGAGCTGAGTTGAACTAATGCACTGCTGCTTCCCATAAAGCATACTCCCTCTCCCTCCTCTTCCAATTGATGCAGAGTGAAACAGATCCTTGTTAGTGTGGTGATATGTTGCATGGAATATATAGAACAGGGGTTTCCTTAACTAGTCAATGGAGAAAGTGAGGAATTCTCTGAAAAGGGATGTTAAGATGTACAATGAATGCCAGTTCAGTGTTCATTTTTGTATCCTAGACCTTGCCTTGAGCAGTGTCTTGAATGGTGTCCAGCAACTGGATGATGATGTCTGATCTCTGAATATAACATTTTCATAGTTTCTAGGGTCGGAAGGGACCTGGGCAGATCATCTAGTCCGACCCCCTGCCATGGCAGGAAAGAGTACTGCGGGTCAAACAACCCCAGCAAGATGGTCATCTAACCTCCTCTTAAAACCCCCCAGGTTGGGAGCCAGTACCACCTCGCTTGGAAGCTGGTTCCAGACCCTGGCCGCCCTGACCGTGAAGTAGCGCCTCCTGATGTCCAACTTAACCCTTCCCTCCGCCAGCTTGTGACCGTTATTCCTGGTCACTCCTGGTGGCGCCCGGGGGGACAGGGACTCCCCCAGTGCCTGTTGATCCCCCCTGACTAGTTTATAGTAGGCCACAAGATCCCCCCTCAGCCTTCTCTTCTGGAGGCTGAACAGGTTCAGGGCCCGTAACCTTTCCTCATAGGACCTGCCCTGCTGTCCCTTGATCATGCAAGTGGCCCTCCTCTGGACCCTCTCGATGCTGTCCACATCCCTCTTAAAGTGTGGCTCCCAGAACTGGACGCAGTACGCCCGCTGCGGCCTGACCAGTGCCACATAGAGGGGGAGGATCACCTCCTTGGTCCTGCTTGAAATGCATCTGTGGATGCACGACAAGGTACAGTTGGCCTTCCTAGCAGCCTCCCCATTTTCTTATCAAGTGATTGAACCTGACCACATGAAAAAGGCGGATTCACTTCTTTTGTTCACAATTTTTTTAAAAAAAAAAAAGCTTCTGTGATTTATCTGGAGATCTGGGAAATATTTTTAATTGCATGTGCAGCAAGCATAATTCTGTTGTGATCCTTCCAACCAGGCAGCTGGGACCGATGATCCGTCTGCCTTTGGCATTTTTTCTGGGTTTCTTTCATCAGTGTTTTTTCAAGAGCTCTTGCAAAGTCAAATCTTTTGAACTTTGGCCACATTTTCCATTAAGGAGGGAGGTCTTGAGAGAAGAAACACCTTGAACTCCTGTATTTCTGAAACTTGATTTGATAGCATTGCAACCATGCTCTTCTGGACCAGTTTTGTAAAACCATCTCATTTCGATGAAATGATGGCTTCCTGTTTATTTTATCATATTCTGAGTCCAGTACTTGTTGATTGAGGTTTTTTTATCTGGTTCCTAGTTCAGTCAGTTTATAAGAAATTACCTGTATGTTGTTCATAAGGGGGATGACAGACTAAATATCTACTTACAAATTAGTCAGACAAGGTTCTTTGGGTGAATCTGATATCTTTTCTTACTTTGAATCTTACTTAGAAATTAATTCGTTCTGCTGTTCCTTTAATATCAGCTGAAATAGCCTCCGTGGGCGCATCCATACATGCAAGCACATGTGCTTGCAGCAGCTCAAATAGAATCGGTGCAAATTTGAGCTGGGGCTTTTTGCCTCAGCAGATGTGCCTGGACATGCACTTCGGTGTGGGGCAAATTGTGTCACTTGGGGCAAAATAACCCTGCCTGGCTCCTTCTGGATCTGCAGCCAGGGGGGGCTAGAGCCCCGGGCCAGCAGCTGTGCTGTCAGCAGCAGTATAAAAAGCTGCCCTGTCCTGGCCCCATCAGTACAAAAAGCGGCCCTGTCAAGTAGCTCAGGGCTACCCACTCTCAGGAGCTCCTGGGGCCCAGCCAGTTGGTACCTGGGGACACTACACCTTGTGCCAGTTGGACTGCGAAAGCAGCCCTGAGAGCTCCCTGCACTCTTTACCCACTGCAGCAGTCTGGCAGTGGGGGCTGCTGCCTGGCTGTGACCTGCTGCCACCTGCCAGACCTGGATGGGGACTGCAGAGCCAATAGAGGCATCTGCCCCTTCGGGCCAGCTGCCAGTGGGCTGTGGCTACCGAGTTGGCCTTTGTGCGGCACTACTGCCATATGTACCCCCTGCCTGGCCATCTGGGCAGCTGTCGCCCGAAAGATGTTCCCAGAGTGCTGGCCTGCTTTGATCTGTCAAAGCATGTCCTCCTGGCCCCAATTGGCCAGGAGGTCACCCACCTCCAGCTGGGTTCAAGGTGCCAGCTCTGAGCAGGCTCCTCTGCCTGGGTCCTGCCACTTGCCTCCTTAGCAGGAATTCTGGTGTTCCCTATTTGAAAACTGAAAAATCCCTGATTAAAAAGATCCCAAAGTCATTCTGTAAAATATCCCAAAGTCCATGTTCCTCTACAATTAAAACAAAAGACCACTATATATAGAGAGAGACAGCAATCAGTTGGACAATGTTTTATTTATATATCTACAGTGTTAAAGCAATTTGGAAACTTACTGAATTCTAAATACCTATATGTTTTGCTGTTTGTCTTTGGTTTTCTTACCATAGAGCAGTTAGAGCTCCCCCTGACCACTTCACTAACCAGGGTGTGGGACAGCTGGCCCTGCAGCCACAGGTCCTGCCAGCAGGTCTCACCCTGTCTGGCATCTGGGCACGCTGGGTGTGTGCTGGGGGGATGTGGGGTTTGTAAGTGTGGGGGTGTGTGGGTGGATTGTGGGGGGACTGTGCAGGAGAGCTGCTTGGCCTCCCTGCACAGCTCATGGACTGCCCCCCAACAGGGGTTACAACCCCCTCATAGGGGCCACATGGCCCCTGCAGAGGCTACCCCCACCTACAGGGCCCATACGCCCTATCCCCGCTTGCTCCTCCAGCCCTCTGGATTGCTGCTCTGCCTGGCTCCATCCCCCACTGGTTCCTGCAGCACCCCCAATGGCTGCCCCACCCCCTGCAATGGCTGCTCTGCCTGACCCCACCCCCATCCCCTGCTTGTCCCTCCCCGGGACCCCAACCTCCCAGCACTTTAAAAAAAAAAAAAAAAAAAAAAAAAGCCTTGCACTCGCCAGTAGTCCAGGACTCAAAACAAAAGAAGCCCCACACTCACTGGCATTAGCAGCTTTGTCGGGGTCACTGAGGCCACATAGTAGAGCCCCACTGTGCAGCGTGGGGCAGTGGGGCCTGGCCTCTGCTGCCTGGCACCCACACTGCCACTACCCCATTGCGCAGGTGTGGCTGGGGTCGGTAGGGCACTGTGTGGCTCTGTGCACTGTCAGGCAGCTGGGGCTGCTGTGCCTGTCACCCAGGCCCTGTGCTGTGTGGAGGGCTCTGCCACAAGGCCCCAGTGACCCCGATGGCAAGGGCTAGTGCTGGTGAGGGCTAGACTTCTTTAATTTTTTTTTTTTTTGAATT